AGACTATATGTATTCTAGAATGGGAGAGCCTGCAGTCGGGTAGGGTTTACGGGGGTATGCAACACTTGATCTATGAGTGATGATGTAATTCAGATTTACTGCTCACGATAAAGGAAATAATAGGTGTTAGTGAATGACTGTCATTGTAAATTCTGGCCTATGAAGCTACGTCAGACAGCCATTTAAAGATGGAGGACGGTGCTACGAGCAAAGCGACTGACCAGCTGTGATGTCACATTGTCCGAAAGCAGCAACACAAGAGCCTGCGTGAAAGTAGGTAAAAGACTTGATTTTTAAAGAACAAAGTTTTTCATTGTATTTAATGCCTTGATACTGGATGATGTAATCATTTGCCACTTAAACAGTTTAAACTTGTGGAGGCTACAACTAAAGATGTGTTTGGATTTTGTCCCAAAGTTATATGCATTTCCTTTCCACTGACTCTGAGCACAAACTGAATCTTAAAAATCTTTTATTCTTGTGGCACTTGAGCCATTAAAACTACAACAAAAAAAAAAACGGTTTGTGCCTTCCAGTATAAACCATAAAACATACAGTATATTTATGCCAGATATCAGAGACACAGATGTATATGAGACATAACCAAAACTCGAGATCACTCAGTTTTAATTCCACAATATCAATCAAATCTACAATATTTTTTTTCAGTCTTTCTCTGTGTCAAAGCAGATTTCACTTCACAAATGACTAAATGCCAAGTTTTTACCAAACTACTTTTTCCATCCTCATTTCACACAATCACATTCACTCACAATCAGACTAATAAATTACTAAAAATGTGGACACAGAGTTAGTCTAAAAAAGAACAGACTGGCCAACAAACACTGAATGAAGATATTCGCAACCAACTCACAGCAGGGAGGGAGAACACAACAAAAAGCTCAATGCGCTTCAGTTTAATATACAAAATTCTGGTTTGTATTCAGTGTGCTGTTGCACTGAGCTCTGTGGGATCAGCTTCTCTTTTTGTAGTTGTTTTCTTTCAGTTAAGTTTATGTTTGAGGCAGTTAATTTGTACACCTGAACTCCTGGACAGAAACATCTTGAATGCGACTCTGAAACAAGACGGGAATGTTCCTTCAGATTCCTGTTGTCAGGGACCTAAAAATAGATGATGCACATTAAGACAAACAGATCCCTGCTGATACGATAAGTAGCGTGATGACAAATGAGAGGGAGCTTTGTTGTTACATATAATAACTCTGGCACAGATTTTACATGTTAGGTTTATGCAGTTGTGATAAAAAGCAGTTATGCATCCAAAAAGTTCTTTAGATGATTGATGATTATTTATCAAGCAGAAAGTGCTTGTTTATGCATAAATTGTCAAACATAAATGACTAGATGGTCAAAGTGAACCTCTCATAAGGGCTTACTCTGTCCCAACAAACATCAAAAATAATTTAAATTTGCCAATGAATTTTAAAAATCAGAGACACGCACACAGCAGCATTCATATTTTAAAAGGTTTGGAGCCAGTGAATCATTTGTGTTTCTCCCCATAGATTCAAAAATAATTACATTTAGCATTTTATCCATGAGTAATAACTAAATATTTTAGGCACCGTTTTCCAATCAAATACAGAATAATTTTAACCTTGGATAGTCCCAATGTCGTATACTTGACTCTCACCACTAAAACGATCAATATAATAGCAATTTATCAAATTAAATTTAGTTTTCTTGATCATTTGTTTGGTCTATAAAGATCAAAAACAGTGGAAATGCCCGTCACATTTTTCGCCAGATCCTAAGCGATGTCCATAAGTTTACCCACCAACAGCTTTGGCAATCGACCAATTTATAAAGATTCATCTTTATTAGCATTAGCTTCCTTTCTCAAGACTACTTAACACTGTAAACTGAATATCTTTGTAGTCTATGGATTGTTGTCGGAGGAAACTTACTGGACAAATCGCTGTAGGGATCTGGAAAAATGTGGACGGCATTTCCACTGTTTTTTGGATCTTTATAGAGACCAACAAATGATCAAGAAAACTAATTAACTTGATAATTGCTACATATATCTGTGTTCTAGTGGTGAGAGTCAAGTAATCGCATTGGACTATCCAAGTTAAATTATTCATGTATTTGATTGGAAACGGGGCTAAAATATTAGTTTACTCCAGGATAAATTGCTAATGGTAATTATTTTGAATGCCTATGGAAGAGAGGAGAGCAAAATTGATTCACTGCTCCACCTTTTAAAAATGAATGCGCTGTAGTGGCGTGTTCTTGATTTTTAAAATCATTGCAAATCCTTAATATTATGTAAGTTTGACAGAGGTAAAGCCACTATGAGAAGTTCATTTGACCATCTGTTCATTATGTAATTGAACAATTTCATTGCGATAAACAAGCACTTTGCTGATGAAATAATCATAATCATCTGAAGAACTTTTGGATGATACTGCTTTTTATCACAACTGCATAAACCTAACATGTAAAATCTGTGCAAAAGGGGGAGGGGATTATTATATGTAACAACAAGCTCCTCTCAGTTCGTCATTCCACAGCTCTAATCGTATCAGCAAGGGATCTGTGGTCTTAATGTGCATCATCTATTTTTAGGGTCCTGACAACAGAATGCTGAAGGAACATCCCGTCTTGTTTCAGAGGTCGCATCAAGTGTTTCTGTCAGGAGTTTCAGGTGTACAAATTAACTGCCTCAACATAAACTTAAACTGAAAGAAAACAAACTACAAAAAGAGAAAGCTGTCCAACAGAGTCAGTGCAACAGCCACTGAATAGACAAACCAGAATTTGTAATATTAAAACTGAAGCTCCATTTGAGCTTTTTTGTTGTGTTTCTCCCTCCCTGCTGTGATGTTGTGCGATAATCTTCATTCAGTGTTTGTTGCCAGTCGTGTTCTTTTTAGACTACTCTGTGTCCACATTAGTAATTTATTAGTCTGATTTGTGTGAATGAGAGTTGTGTGAATGAGGATGAAATAAGTGTTGGAAAAACTGGCATTTAGTCATTTGCTGAAGTGTAAATCTGCTTTGACACAGAGAAAGACTGAAAAAATACATTGTAGATTTTGAAGTAAGATTGATTGGGAATTAAAACATGAGTGATCTCGAGTTTGGTTCATGTCTCATATACATCTTGTGTCTCTGTAATATTGGCATAATATACTGTATTGTCATTGGTTTAAACTGAACGAGCACAACCGTTTTTTTTTGTTGTAGTTTTAATGGCTCAAGTGCACAAGATAAAGAATTTAGATTTCAGTGTTGTGCCGTCGCTAGAGTCAGTTGGAAGAAAATGATATAAACTTTGGGACAAATCATCCACCTTTAGTTGTAGCCTCAACTAGTTGTACACTAACCAACTGTATAAGATGGCAAATTAGTTATATGGAAACTTTTACATTTTCCAGTATCAAGGCATTTAAATATACAACTGAAAAAACTTGTTCTTCTATAAAAAATGTACTATATCTCTTACCGACTTCACCAGCAGGCTCGTGTTGCTGCTTTCTGGACATGTGACATCACAACTGGTCGTGCCTTGCTCGAGACAACCGTCCTCCATCTTTAAATGGCTGTCTGACAGTAGCTTCATAGGCAGAATACAATGACAGTCATTCCTAACACCTATATTTCCTTTATCGTGAGCAGTAAATCGTGATTCATCATCACGTCATAGACTCATATGTATAGTTGCATAGCCGTAAACTACCGACTGAAATTCCATTTTTGTAATACAATAGTCTACATGTTATGGACACTGCGTCTATAGATTCATAATTCACAAACTAAACTAACAGCAGGGGGGATAAGCATTACCACAAGCAAGATGATAATGATGATACTTCATCACAACAATGAAAATCAGGTGTGTTGGATAACAAGAAACTCACTGAGAAGAACTTGAATTTCCACACAGTCAGTTCCCTTGTACTTCAGAGGTCAGAAGCTAAGTTACCTTGAAGATCTTAAAAAGACCAAAAACATCATCATATGTGTGGGATTCTCTGGTTCCGTTCACCATCTGACTGTTAACGGAGTTTGTATCATAAAAGAACCATTTGAATCGATAAAAGAAGATAGCCCTATTTAGCTTATCATCATACTGATACTTTACATCTCATCCAAGGAATTGCTCTTAAAGATTAATGTTACATTTCATAAAAACATATTCCTTTTCTTATGGTGTTGGTGGAGGTGGTCTCCAGGCAAGGAGGCCCAGCTCCACTACAACACACCACAAGAAAACGTGACACTGGGACTGTTCGCACACTGGTTGTACAGGTTAAATGAGGCTTTGTTTCTACGACAGCCACCGCTAGTCACGCACACATGCTAGCGCACGCAGCACGCACCACCTCACATCATACATACAACACAATTTGTAATTACCACAACACATCTTTGTTTACACGATTAGGTGTTTATTTAAAAATACTCCATCTGCAAATGTTTCTTTTTTTTTTTTTAATTATAAAACAAGACAAGTTTCACAACTAGTGGCCTACATAGTAAGCAAAAAGGAGGGGAGTATCCATCAGTCTCTTTTCTCCCTCTGTATCTATGTAGTTGTATCGAAAGCTCTGGTCGGGCCTGGGACAAGAAGGGGCTTGGTAATCTGGTGGACCAGCTCTTTGAGGCGGGAGTCAGGATGGTGGATTTGAGGGCACAATACTGAGCCTGGAACAGAGTGGACCCAATCTACATCATGTCATTTATGTCGACCTAACTGCTGTATCGGGCCACTGGTTAAAGCAGTATGATTCAGAATCTGTAAAGGTCGGATCCCTTTTTAAGAATCTGTAAAGTCGGTCCCTTTTGTAGTGTATCTGATAGTGAAACTGATCCCCGATTGGCACTCCTGAGACCCACACACACACACACACACACACACACACACACACACACCAGACAACAGACAACAGACAACAGCTGACTGAGGGTGTGCTTACTTCAGCCAACTCCTGTAGAATAATTATAGTGTAATACTTCTCATCTGAAACATGCTGTATGCTAAATCCAAATGGGTGGATAAACAGAATGCAACACCACTGGTATTAACAGTAAACAAGTTTGATTTACATTCTCCAAAGTAACTTTTGATATTAATTCTAATTTACAAGAAAGAGCATTTTGTATTTGTTGTGCCTATTAAAAAGAACAACTCTGGTGATATTCTACATTTCTTTTATTGTCAACAAATCCCACGAGAAGACCAAAACCAGCAGTAAATTGATCTAACAAGGATTGTGTGTGTAGCCATGGAGCTCCTTTGTCATCCAGAAACAATTAAAAACACATCAACAAGCCACACTGTTGCAGTGGGTGAGATGTTCCCTCCATTTAATTACCATTAACACACATACACTGTAGTTCAATTTGAGTCAGTCCAACATTAACTGTTCTGCTGCCAGAAATAATCACTCAGATACTACAAATATATATTAATTTACTGCTAAAATAGTCCAACAAATTTACCGTTTCATACTGTTTGAGTGACATTTGATAAAAAAACTACTACAGCAGCTGCTTCAGGAAATTCTGAAGCCTTGTCTTCAGTACAAACCAACTGCCCTGTGGCTGAGTGCCACAGACAGGTAGGGAAATCAGAAAGTATTAGGACTAAAACAAAATCAGTTTTGGTCTTTTCATGTGGTTTGGTGAGTAACAGAATAGAGACTAACACCAGTCTCATTCTTTAAGGCTATATGGAATAATTCAAACATGTTTTTATGACAATCCCGAGATCGACCGCATCACAGCCAGTCCTGTTTAACTCTTTACCTTGGAAATGACAGACAAGTAAGAAATAAATAAGGGATTCGTAAAAACAATGGTAAAGTTTTAGGTTTCACAATCATGCAGCTCTACAGCTGTGATGCAAATTAGCGTTTGGGCAGGTCATACAGTAGCATTTCTAGCCCGACTCCTGCCTGACGTGGCTGTGTCGACCCCGTGAGGTGGCCATGTTTGTCTGGCGCTTGCTGTGGATTAGCTGGGCTTTGGAAATCAGAGGGCAGATGGCAGCAATCTGGCCTATGAGAGCACAGCGTTGGAGCGTCTTATACCTATCAGGTTGTCTGCGCTGAAGGATCGTCTCATCGCTGCTCGGCTCAGGTCCTTATACTTGTCCTCACATAGTCTTGAAATGGCCTGGGCAAAACACAACAAACACACTTATTGAAAAGTTCTCAAAGAAGAAGTAAATACAACACTATCTAATCAGAGGTGTTTGAATTCAAAACTCTTGACCTTGTCAAACAGCATAAACCCACTTGTAAACATTCAGCTATTGGAAATAGTTAAGCTAGATAAAATAAATTTCTTTTCACTTTGGGGCTTGTTGCAGAGAAGAGAAGTAACTACTATAATTAAAACATAATGAGACAAACTCAAAGTCCAGACATGACAAAGGTCTGAGGAGGGAGGCTCACCTCTAGTTTCTGGGCACGCTGGTTGTTGAGAGGCTCCAGAGGGAAGTTGAGGTTGTTGTCATCAGCCAGCTGCCGCAGATCAAAGTAGTACTTGGCATAGACACTGGCTGGCACGTTGATATTGAACTGGAGAAGTTCCAGGAAGTGACGCTCCATCTCATTCCTGGAGGGTGGAAAGACACCTGAGGGTTATTTCGGACAGCCAAAACTTCTGAACACAGTCTTAACTCTACTCTAAAGCTTAAGCTGGTAACACTACTACATTAAGTGCAACAGAGGAACAGAGGATACAACCCAGTAAAAAACATATAAGAGACCCGAGGACACGGTGAATAGATGCAGGAAGGTACAGTACGGCATTGATCAATAAATACAACTGAACTGAATTATTTTAATCTTGCGGTGACAAGAATGAACACAGTCCCTGCATTACTTCTAAGAGTTCACAATTGTATCCACTCATCTCCATAATTCAGTGTTAAAAAAAAAAAAAAAAAGGTTAGAGTGAATCACTGTTTCCAAATATTTCAATTCAGATAAATACAATTTAGGAACCTACACATATGGTAATACAAGCTCCAAAATTCAAATCTCAGTAAACCCTTTCTAAGTTTCCAGCTCAACTGAACCACATCTGACCTGCTTTTCTGAGCTTTTACTAAACATTTATTCAAAAGGAAAACAGGTGCTCTTAATGTTGTAACATTAATTCTCTTAGTTTAAGTTTTAATTGTGACCTGTGATGATTATCTTCACAATCATTGGGTTTTCTGCTGTTCATTGTTAAAAACATGCAAATTCAGACTTTTTATTTTTTTTAAGAAATACAGACAATACTCAAAACAACAATCACAAATGATAATCATAAAGGTAATTACAATTAAAATCCTCAGGATCCTGATGAAACTTAATAAATTAAAAGCGCATTATGTCAGAGGACGACGACGCTGACTGTTCAGACTTCACAACTTTGATGAGAGGGGACATGACTGTGTGTGTGGATTTCGATCAGTGAACTGTTGACAGCTATTCAATAGATGAAAAGTTATTTCTATTTTTATTTCTCCGAACATTTTTCTTTATCTGTGGTTTTTGATCTGAGCGGCACAGAAGAGAAAGATATGATTTCTACAAAGGAATGATCACACTCTAAAACTCAGCAGCTGTACATCAGTTATTTGTGTATTAACTAAAAATTCAACACTGGAAGCTTATGCTGAGGGAGATGGAATCAAATCTCATTCACATTCACACTTGCAGGTAACCCCACATGTCTCTGCGAGCACTCAGCTGGAGTATCACAGTTCGTCTTTTTTCCAGACTACAACCTCCATCAGCCTTCTTCATCATCATCACAGCCATGAGAAAAGCTAAGGGAGGTGGTCGTCAAGGAGACAGCATCCAGGATGCTTTGTTGGTCAGCAAAGGTGGTGCGAGTGAGTGCGAGTGTGTGCGTGTGTGTGTGATGTCTGGTCTCCCAGGGCAACTAATGGAGTGGGCGAGAGCCTGGGCCATTATGTAGAAGCAGTGAGAGCACTTGAGACCCTCCCCTCCATTTCCCTCTCTACTCTTCTTCCCATCCCTCCATCCAGGCCCGACCAGGCTCACAAAGACACTTCAATGGCAGCAATGAAAACAGAGCAGAGAGTGTGTAGGTCAGACGTATATGAGAGGAAAGAGAGGAAGTCAGAGAGGGATGGGGGCTCATGGATAGAGAAGACACATGCAGGCAGTGCTTGCACCTTTTCAAATCACAAAAAACAAGGAGGCACTTTCAACCTCTTTTACACACATGTACACACACACACACACGTACACACACGCACACACACACACGTACACACGAAAAGCAATTGTAGGAAATAAAGCCTGGGTGCTCCAAGTGCAGCCCCTGGCCTCTTCACCAGCTTATAGCAACAGCAAAGATGCTACAGCTTCCATCTATCCCAGCACTGCTCTTGAAGTGCATCTTTGTTGTTGTGTTTCTTTTATTAGGGGGGTGGGGGGCATCTAGTCTCAGAACCCTGATGTATTTGTTAGGAATCTCCTTTTTATACATCTGAAGTGTCTGGAGCTCAGAAACCCAAATACTCGCGGCCGCCAAATTCAGAGATGAACTTGAAAACCAAGCCACAGCTCAAGAAACAACAACTGAAGATCTGTTTTTTTTATTTTGCCGCATTAGTTAAGAGACATTACCCTGATTAACAAACAAGCTCAACAAAATAAACTGCTAAGCCATTACTCAACTGTGCATCCAAACATTACAAACTGGATCCGTTTCAATAGGAGCCTGGATGTTCTTCCTAACCACATCCTCCAGCACTCATTAGGGATTCCCACCCTGTTCCCGGGCAAGGTAGGGCATGTAAAGGCTGCGGCGTGTTCCGGGTCTTCCCTGGAGTTTCCTTCCTCCTCGACACATCTCCACAGAGAGCGTCCTCAATTGGTTACCTATCAACAAGCAGTGGTTCTACTCTGAACTCTTTCCAGATTCCCCAAAGAGTGAGACCCAGCGCAAGAGAACTAGTTTCAGGTTCTGGTATCTGTGATCTAATACTCGCATCAGACAACGAGATACTGGAACTGCTTCAGCTGAAGCAGAAACCTGCTCTTAAACCAACATGGAAAATACCACTCTCTCCAACAAACCACAAAGGAGATGCTAAAGAGGACACTAAACTCCACCAGAGCTGTTTGTCAGACAGATTTGGAAACACCCCCCACCCCCACCCCCACCCCTGAGATCATTGAATAATTAACCTCTTCACCAGAGGACACCAGACAGATCAATGAAGAGAAAAGTGTTGGAGCAGCATCAGCTTCAAAGTCTGACTGTTCAGTCTCAGACAATAAACAATGTTTATGATGCTAGTTAAAAACTTGCTGCTATATTAATGGTCTCATATTAATTACTATTTCCTTTTATTTTAAGCTTCAACCTGCTCTATTTAGCTGCATGATGAGATTATACTACGTGGCAGCCTGTGCTGTATAGACTGTATGATTGGAGGTAACTGGGAGCTAAAAGAACCTTTTCTGTTTTTGCTAATATTTGTCAAATTCAGGTTTCAAAACTCCACACTGCTTATAAAAGAATAACTTAGCACCAGGCTGAAAAGCAGAGTTTTTCTGCTTCCTCTTGTTGAAAGTTTCAACCCTGTTTTACCTCCAACCTTTGAGTGTGGTCCAATGTCTGCTTTGTTGCCTCTCTAAACACACCGGCAAGGGATGTCGGAGGGTAGAGGGGTTCGATAGCATGGATGAAAAACATAAAATGGCTCATAGTATATGGTATTTTTAAACCTACTTAAGTGAAACATGTTGTCTACAGACACCTCTCTCCACAGTCGGGCTGAAAGCAGTGATTTCATTTCCATGTCCATCATCCTCATTCTCAGTTTGTTATTCTCAAAGAAAAAAGAAAAGAAAACAACTCACATGTCCTCCACAGTGATGTCTTTAAGGATCTGGCAGTAGTCGACATTCCACACAGCCTGGTCATCCCAGACTTTGGAGGCCAACAAGATGGCTCCCAGGACGATGCGCTTCCAGTTGGCGGGGCAGATATCCAGCTCAGCGTAGGTCAGCAGCCGTTCCAAGTACACCTTGAGAAAAGAATGTTCAAAAAAAAAAAAAAGGTCAAAATTTGAACTGAAACTGACTCTATATACAACCTGGGACATCAAGTCAGACTAACACTGAGCTGCGGCAAAGTTCATGTGTTATGTACCAGCAAGTTTCCCTTTAAAAGTTGTGGGTGCAATACTGTTACACATGTCTTACCCCTAAAAACAGGCAGTCTTATATCTAGTGAAACTGCTTTTATTCTTGTAAAAAGGGAGCATGACCTGCAGACAATGGTAAAGTTATATTTTTCTTTCAAATCGGTTTGTTTATTTAAAGGCACTGCTGCTGTTGCCTTGTTGAGAAAATAAATGTTACCATGTTGGCCGCCAAGAAAAATCAAGATATTGATTAAAAAATGAATGATAGTTACGATCAATAACAATCCTTTCAGTTATTTAGGATCAACTTCTAAACTGAATATAAACTTTGAGAACTTCAAATCAAAGATCTTACTCCCTAAAACACAGTGTGAATCCTTGAGGGCTATCAAACATGATTCCTTCCTCATGAATGGTATTAAATGTATTGATAATTATTGCCATTAACCAATAAGAAAAAAAAGGTGATAATATTTTTGGCCATATCCTCTGATATACACTGACATAAAATCTGTGCTATGAGACACTTGTGCTATTTGGGACATGGCTTTACTGCCCTCTGGTGACCAGTCAATCTAACATCACACTATTTAACTACATGAACACATTACTGAGCTTGTGTTCTACACCACTATTGTGGACTTTATTAAATCTAATTTCAATAATCTCTTGTGAAATTTGGCAGCAATGATTAATTAATGATTAATATCCAAGACATTATAGACAAGAGCATGTTTAAAAGTGCCTCTCATTTGTGCCAACATATAGTGCTAATAAAAATAAAAATTTATACCAAAAACCTAGAAGTAATCACTCTTCAAATATATGTGTGTAAACAAGTTAGGAGTTGTGAATACCAGCGAATTATCGAGACAAACACTTACAAGTGTGACGATGGCACATTCTGCGGTGAGCTGTGCAGCACTGAAGAGCGTCCTGACAAAGCGGTAGATCAGCTTGTGTTCTGGGTCGACACGGGAGTAGTCGTCTGGTACTGGCTCTCTCTGTATGGGATGAACACAGACACACACGTCTGAGGGAAGCAAGTATGATGTGAGGAGCCTTGTCTGAAAGCCCCATGGTTGTTCTGGAGATTGATCTAATCATCTAGGTGGGGTGCTGCCTGGGCAGATTGTCAGGACTAAGATACAGAGACAAGCAACCATTCACACACTCAGGCAATTTAGAGTCGCCAGTTAACCTAACCTGCATGTCTCTGCGGGAGGAAACCGGAGAACCTGGAGGTACAATACATTACAATGCGCTTGTTGAGTCGTAAACCTTTCAAAACTTTCAAAACGATGGAGGAAATGGATGGAAGCTGGTCAAAGGCAGGTGTGACGCCATGGCTACATTAAGTATATTAAACATGTGAGAATTAGCCTGTTGGATTTCATTGTTAAAATCCATTAATCGTGGATCATCTTAAAAAACAAAACATGGAACATGGTTCATTCGCCACCGCTGCAAGCAAGACATCTGGTTGTTTAGATGTTTGTTTTGTCTGCGTGTGATATCATTTTACTGTCATCTTCAGTTTGGAGTGTCCCTCCAAAATCTAAGCCAAGAAGTTGGGCAACTTCACTGTGGAATGAGACACCATTCGTGCCTCTTTATCTAAAGTCTACATCTGAATGGAAACCATTTATAAAAGCACTGCCAATGAGGACGAGACATGACAATTTTTTTCCTTCTTTCTTTTTTTTTTTTAAACCAGTGAATCACATCCTGTTTAAATGATTCATTACTCTTCATCTTTTTTCTTGAACTGTTCACAAGGTGATGTCTGGCCCCTGACGCCAAATACAGTGCTGAAAAATGTCAGTTTGACAGGAGAGGTTGTTAAACTGTCACTTCAGACTAAAGTTTTGTATCATGACATTACTGCATTTTTACATAGACATGCTATTAGAAAAAAGCTAAGAAACAGGAGATTTTCATCTTAGAGAATGTCTAAAAATGATCGAACATTTACAACCATTTTTTACTCAAGGGTTAAAAGGATCGGCTGACAGTTTTTCAGGTCTTTCATACAAAGATTGAAACTAGTTTTTCTTCCTGTAATCATTTCTGCCATTCATACTGGCCATCCACCTCAGGCACTTGCAGTGTAAGTGACAACGGACAAAACCCACAGCCTGACATCTGACGTAAAATGCCCTCTTAGTGTTTCCCTGTCAGGCTGCAGTGGAAGAAGAGTAGCAAAAAGAGAATTTTACAATAAAAAGAACATAACTTTGGAAAACATCCATGTGATTTGTCAGACTGCTGAAGCCTCAAATTAGTTTCAGATACTCTAGAGTATATTTTATGCACAGACGGAGGACTCGGGATTTAGTCCCCTTCACTTTGAAAGTGCATTAGGAATGGATCTTTAATAACCACTATCAAAAGGAGGAATGATTACAGCAAACAAGAACTATGTCAATGTGTTCATCTGGGAACCTGACCATTGTTTTAAGGCAAACTTCAAAAACTGTGAAACTATCCTTTAAGTCACCAGATCCTATCTCCCAAGTCAACATGCAAGTAAATTACAGCAACAGCTCAGACTGGTTGGACAGATGGATTAAATATCAGTCATTCCTTCAAGCCATTCATTCTGATTCATCAAGTCATCTGTCTGTCTACTTTACTGATAGGCAGCAGGCAACAAAGACTCTCTGACTGTTTATGAGTTTGTGGAAATCTCTTCAACATACTCACTGATAAGGGGTGCAACTTCTCATCAAAGATGTCCAGTGACTTGTCTGAGTCCCTAAACAACAAACAATACATCCGTTAAGGCAATCCACATGCATACTAGATTTAGCAACATAAAGTTCCACATATTACATAATAAAGATCAAATTAAAGACGTGAACTCACCTGTTTTTGATGTGGTAGTATATTGCTAATGTGACACTGGAGACAGAGTAAAATGAGAGAAAAGACAAACTGATTTTCAGTCTTGTAGCTTAAATAACAACAATCTCAATGGGAGAATAATATAATGTGTCTGTGTGAGTGTGTGTGCATGTGTATGTGTGTCAGAGCTTACGGTGTAACAAAACATTTGCACACATTCAGCAAGAAGGCTAACACACTGAGATAATCCTGATGAAATGTGATTATCCTGAGTCACTAAAATAATGTCATAAATTAGGCGTAAGAACATCTGTTTTAGTCACGCATCCATTAAGTAATACTTTAGGATTACCACACTGTGATGCAACAGGATTTTCTCATGTGAAATATGTGACTTTTGAACAACACAACATTGTGCATTAGTGTGCGAGTGATTTCCTCTCTCACCATTTGATTGTGCTTTTGAGGTTTGGCTGGCTGACGGTGCTGTCGTCTATGAAGATTGTGGAACAGGAGCTGTATTTCTTCGACAGTGGACCAGGAGATACCTTGAGACATTGAAATCACACAATCAACAACTTGGGACAGGAGTTATTTCTGATGGCTGCATTTCTTTAGACTGGTGTCAGACGTTCCTGGATTAACACTGAATACTTGATATTCCGGATTAAGCACAAAAATGTTAACGTACAAAATACTAACACAAAATATCCGCTATCAAGGAATCAATTCATTAGTAAAATCTACTTATAATCAGTTCAGCAATCACATTTATGATCAACATTTAGATTGACACTTACATGACTGATATGATTAATGTGGTTGCTTTTCCTCTTGTCTCGTACTGTAAAGGAAGAGAAATGTTCAATATAGCGAAGCTGGACACAGAAATCAGCGTACAGTACATACTACTCTACTCTACACTGCACTGCAAAGAAGTGAGCATCAAATATGGTGTCACAGCTGAAATGTTTTAGTGACTGTTTACTTGCAGCTGATTAAAGACTTCTACAGAGTATACAAAAGGCCTGTTCACTCCCAAATTAATCAATCTCCAGTGAAGTAAGTGATAGACAATTTAACGTCATTGAGAGGATTGCAACAACTGCGAAAAAACAGAGCCTAGGATTAAAGTTAGACAAGTGCACAAATATTAAACATGGTACAGAATTAATACAGAAACCTCTACATCATGTGTTTCAGATGTGTGCATTTACTCTTCTAAGGATCTTAGGGAATACTGTTCATGTGAATCACTGCTGAGTGTGTGTGTCATGGTAAGATTGCTCACCGTCTGTCTGAGATTTGCTAAGGAAGATGGTGCTCGCTCGGGCGTGGTCCGACGGGTTAGACTCCAAGGCCAGCTCTGGCAAAACAAAAAGTGTGTAAGTGCATTATACTGACAATCCATCAATCAATGCATCTCATTTGGAACTGGGAGCGAGCTGGGAGTGAGCTGCTTATCTCTCACTCCTGGGTAATGATGAAGCCCACGGGGAGATCAAGAAAGTTATCAAACATACTGGTAAGAGCACACCGGAAAATTCTGTAAATTGTAATTATCCAACATTTAGAAAGAAGGCAATATGAACGTTGCGATCAATCCCGCAACAAATAACCCTGAGGACGAGCAGGAAGGGAAGGTGCCTGCGGTACAGATTTGAGCATCGCAGCATCACTGGGGAAAGTACTGTCTGACTGTGTCTGTGGGTTGAAGACTGTAAAAGATTTGACACCAAATAAGACTTGAGACAAATAAATGTTAACCTTTGCACTAACTGCTGAACTGTGTATAAAAAAAAAAAAAAGGGCTACATTTCCTCAACTGTTCACTTTCTACTGAAAACTCATATTGACTGTTTCATTTGAATGCGATTTGCCTGAGTGGGAGAAAAAACAGCCAAAACTGCAATACATTTTACTGAACATTTCACCAATCACTCAGTGTTGGCACAAAAAGCAGACACTGAAGATCTACCAGAAACATGTATGATTTTTCTATCAACGTTTTCATCTCCCTGTGGGAACCCGTATTTGAATTAAGAAAAGACTGACCAGTCTTTTGTCACCCCGAAAAAACAAATTGGAGGGACCAAGTATTTTTCTAAAGCTATTTAATATGACAAATGTACATTAAAAAAATCAATAACTTAGGCTGATAAAAGACTACACTATAAACCGCCTCTGGAAGTGTTCTATTGTTTGAGACTGCACACGGGCAATGAACGGACTCATTAGTAGCAACGATGGTAGGCTATTTGTGGATATCAAGATATTTTACAGATAGAACTGTAAATTCATATAACCAAGAGGGCACTGCTTTATACGTGATCCTGATTTAGAGAATTGTGTTCGTCATCCAGATCTGTGCAGACAGCACATTACATAAAAGACAGGGGATTAGGCGATGGCAGCATTTGTGACGTGAGGACAGCAAGAGGAGACGTGAGGAATGTAGGAAGAGCTGCTGGACTGATTCTGACCCTCACCCTGCCAACAGCTGGTCTCACCAAACTGCACTCTTGCACTGTAGTCCACAATAACATGAATGGAATGAACTCTGTGCATGTCTGAGGAGGAGTGGCGACATGAGGACCTGTAGTGCAAAACTGAGCTGAGGCCTACATCTGAGATGCACTCACTGATAAACCATAAAAATGAAACTGAGGTTGGTAAAAGGATTGACAATAACGTTAAAGGGCTTGTGTTCATCGTTCATGTGTAAGTGGTTAATGTCGAGCCAAGAAGATGAATGGTTTGTTTTCATTCTTAATGTCTGACTTGGTAATATGACACCAGTGTGATCAATTTGATGCAGAGCCCAGCTAAAGAGAGCCAAGAATTTCATCGTCATCATCATCATCATCATCATCATCATCATACCCAGGGCACTGTTGGCAGTAGGATGGCGATAAACGAGTCTGGCAACTTGGCAATAGTTGCATTTGTGAGCATTAAGTGCGCAGGGGACATAAAAATTGTTGAGTATCATTACACTAAAGAGTGAACTTCTGTGTGGCACTAGTAACTGAGTGCGTGCTCACATGAAGGGTGGATAGAGTTAATTTGTGTGCTTGAGAGTCACATGAAGTTCTTTCTCCACTATGACAATGACTGGATTAATTTAAGATCCTCCCTGTTAACAAACAGAAATACACAATAGGAAAATCTGGTTTAGGCTGTCTGATCATCACAGGTGAGCAGGCATCAGGTATAGACACCTACCGTCAGGGACCTCTCTGTCGCTTATGTGCTGCAGGTAGGGCACGGTGTTGTCATCGCTCACTTCGGTGCTGGTCTGGATCTCCTCCAGCCGCTCTGCCGGTTGTCTTGAAGGTAGTTTGGGGCTGGACTCGGGAGAGACGCAGCATGACACCGTGTTCCCCATTCCAAACCGTGTGTGAGCTTCACACTATTGCAGCCAAGTCCCAGTAGTGCAAATATTTGTAGCTAGCTAAAGTCAGCTTTCCCCAGCGTCATAAACATTACCAGGCTATAGTCAGTATTAACACCACACTATCTTTGTTTGCTAAATCGCCGCTGTCCAACTCCCAGGAATCGCATTCCTGTCCATTTGTGGGTATATAGTGTTAGGTTGTTCAGGAAAATTAGTGTCGTCTTATAGTAATATTCGATGTGTCCTTGTAATAACAGCAAGTAGCTGCTAGTTAAATCCAGGTGGTCGCCAATTCATTCATTCATTCATTCAACATGCAAGAGTTTCACCGCTAAGTAGCTAACTAGCATTACAGCAAGCTAGCTAACTAGTTAACTTTCTTCTACTCCACAATGATTCCACCTTGGGCTGTCGTGTAAACACAACTGACTATTCAGAATAAATACGTTACGACTTCAAACCGCTAAATTCTTGCAAATACATTGTATGACACTTTCCAAACAATCCCTCATATGTCTTCTTGCACTGGGCTCGGTGTGTCGCCAAATCTAGCCCGAGGCTTCGAAGGCCTCAAGTAGAGAACCAAGGTAAAAAGAGTAAAATCCAAGACTGTATGTAAGAAATTCTCAGTGAGGTCGGAATGACTAGGCCTTCTCCTGGTTCATCATTACACAACCAACTCTGGTAGCTGATCTGAACTCCTCCATCGGTGCCTACACCCCGTCAGATTTGTGCTGGATGTACTAGCCGCCACCTCCGCCATCTGTTGCCGGAGCTCACAAACGGCACTACTTGGCACGGAGATGTTGTCGCCCCGCCTACTCAGGAATTCCATTCACTCCCGTTGGCTGAAAAATCTAAATGAGGAGCTTTTAAAGCCGCTCATTGGTTGAAGGAGCTGCCTGTTGGGGAAGATTTAAACCGATGAAATGTATTTACAACGCTGCTATTTTTGTATCGTCACCGATCCACACCCTTTTTTGACAGTGAAAACTGAAGCCGGCCCTCTATTGCACTACCTTGCTGTCAATCAATGCATCCATCCTCATTCATGCAATATGCGAAAGGGGGAAACAAGGAATGATAAGGTCTATGGTTGTAACACTTAATTTTTTTCTTAATATCTGCTTGCTCATGAAATATTTTAAAATATGGTCGATAACATTTATACATCTGTGGTAAAAAGTACATTAGCTCAATCATTGTACGTACAGGTTGGTAGATTTGGATTTCATTAAATGTGTGAACAAATGGTAACCCGGCTTTTCAAAATAGTAATAGTAATAGTAATTAAAAGAGTTTTTAAAAATTAGTTTCTGTACTTGCATTTAAAAGTAAAGTACTTGTAAATGTAATTTACACCTGTACTTAAACTATAAGATATTAGAAGTACTTTCTCCTCTTCACATCACTGAACTCTCTAAGGTATATCTTCAAAAACACAACATGACTCTTAGGAGCACAACAAACACATCATGGGAGCTGTAGTTGGTGAACACCTGGAAAATAATCATATTCATGTTTGTTAAAATGATGGGATGCTAACATTTTACTTGCCAGTAGAGGAGTAAACACTGTGCAATCATTCATAATAAAACACACAACAATTGAATACTAAATTAATGCTAAATTTAAAAATGACCCCTTCTTGGTTCATCAGTATGTCACTGAATGTTCTGATTAATTCATTAACAGTAAAATACATAATCTTCAAGAGCAGTTTATTGCAACATAGCAAGTGTTTACAAAAGAGTGATGTAATGTCAGTTAACAGCACTTTCAATTAATGGGCTGGTATAGTTTTATAATGTGACAGTTGTTGAAACAAACAGTATGTAATGCATCATTGGGTGATCTTGTCTCTACAAGATACTGTACAATACATGGCATTTTAAATTGATAACTTGTAAAAGTGGCAATATATAAACTGATCACATTAAAAGTTAGAAAAAATGTAATTATTACTGTTCTAGAAATTCTCTCTATATATACTTTTACAGACAAGGATATCAATCTGTTTCATGCAAAAATGAGGCCTGTGGGTATAAACTATTCTGGCACAGAAATGAAAACACTGTTGGTATTGTAGGAAAGATATTGTGTAATCACATCACAAAGTTGAGCTCACTATATCAAATCAACAAAAAAAAAAGATTATTACTAGATTTTTTTTCAGCACCAGCACTGGATGTGTGAATTACAACAGGTGGAAATGATTTAAGTTTTCATCTCAGTAACTCAGGTATTGTAATGGCACAGGTATCAAATTTGCTGCTCCCTCTCCTCCAGAGTAAGCTTTGTGTGGCTTGTCAGACTTCACTTCCTCCGATGAAACGTATTACAAAAAGATTACTTCTGCATTTCGTTATGTCTCTACACCAGTTAGTCTGAACCACAGTGTGACAGTCAGGAGGAGGGTGAAACAGGGGGGACATGTACAGCTACAGTACATGCCACTGTGTTGTGGGTCAATAGGGGATGATTCATTCAAAGCCTTCTGATTTAGTATGAAGTGCTGTGTGATTTCTTTAGCCAATTCAACTCTTTAATCTTCTATACATTACAAGTACGTACTGTATGCTGTACAATATCAAAATGTTTTAAACTAGAAAAATAAAACTGGAAGAGCTACCATGAACTGTTAAAAAAAGAAACAAAACACATTTATATATATATAAAAAAAAAAAAAAAAACACACACCAATTGTTAGAGCCACCGTTAGTGCCCCCAAATTTCCTCTTAGCTCATGACTGAGGTTTGGAAACTTATTTGTGAAACACAGTAATAAATATGTAGTCAAAATAATGTTATGTAAAGGTCCACTTATTAGCTCCCGGAGCTTTCAACCAAATAAATCGAAGACCATCTTTGAACAGAGACGGGGCTTATTACTCGCACCTGTATGCCATCACCTGTTGTCACCCGACTATAAAGTTCTCACGTTATGACAACTGAGCAAACTCCATCCACTGATGAAGCCTGAGAAATGCATCCGAAAGCTCTGGAAAAAGCTATTACGTGGACCTTGCATTAAGCTGATTTCGTGAAACCCCTGTTTCCAAGGCAGAGAACGAACTTTGATGCTGCTCAGAAATAAAAGTCACCAGTATGAACTCTAACTCTTGAGTATGTTAAGTTTCAAACATCAACAGTGAGCTAGAGGAAACTTTATAGATTTTCCATAAGAAAATCACAGTGTATGTGTCTCCCCAAAATATCAGATATTTTTGTTTAGAGAGGATTCAGATTTGTTTCCAGTTGAAAATATTATCTGAGCTGAGGATTGATTAACTGACATGTATCTTACCACTGCAACTAATGTCAATAAGGGAAAAAAAAAATATCATGTAACTTTGTAGTAGAATAAACGCAGTCAAAGCATAATAAAATAAAGATAAAAAAGGGCTCCAGTGGAAAGAAAATGTGTGCTTTCATATGATGTATTGGAGGATATAAAAAAAAGGTTACTGATGGAGCCGTTTTTGTTAAGGTCTTTGAGATAAAAACATATTTACAGTTAAAAACAAATGTGTGGCTGAGTTTGAAGCCACGAGGGCTCTGCTGTGCAGTTTTCCAACAAACTAAACTGTTCATTTTGTAACTGATATAAGCTGTTGACCCTAACTGCTCTCAACAGACTCACTCTTCTCTACAAACAAACACTGTCGATCCTAAACAGTACAGCACTCCAAAATATAACATCTCCAACAAAGGCCTTTTTTTTCATACACTTAGCTGCCATGATGGTGATAGGCCTGGTTGATTACATGAATACACACATACATTATCTTCTATTATACATTGATGTATGTTACAAATATGCAAAGTTGTTTCGTACAAGCCATAAGAACATTTTTCATATCAAATAAACAGAAATACATGAGGTCTACACATGCTGTAGAGTCTATGTACAGTAATATAAAAAAATAAACAGACATACGTACATGTATCTTCTCAAAAACAGTCGCACAAACGTTATCTTTTATCAACAGAATGCACATTTTCATGGATTATTCGAGTTAAACTCATGTAACCGTAGCCTATTTCATAGAGATTCCAATGTGCTACATATTCGAAAAAACGGCTGCGTAATCTCGCGTTGTCGCAATCCATACACTACCACCATTTAACAGACACCGCAAAACAGACACAATATTGTAAAAACACTGAAAAAACTAAATATCATGTAAAACTGATAACTTTGATCACGGTGGTCTTTTCAGGCAACAAACCGACAGTTCACTGTGGCACAATGAGATGGTGCTTGACCTCTAATTTAACGGGTTTGGAAAACATCTACAACTGTGGTTTTAGAATTATTCAGTAAATGTGCATTTTTGTACAACTTGGACCTTTTTCTTAAAAAGTCTTTTAGACATCAGTCTCATCTGTTAAGAACATTTTACGCATCAGTTAACTGGTGAATTGTAAACAAATCCCTGGTTATCTAAACCACAAACACGTGAATGTTTACAGTATTAAATCTGCGCTTTGCCTTGAAAGACTACTTGTGCACAGAAAAGCAGCCAATCAAAGTAAACCAATCAAAGTAAAAGTACCGCTGCAAAGTTTTCTTTTTGTTATTTCTTTAGGTTTGTAATAACTAACATTCAGATTTGTTTTCACTTCTAAATAATTTAGTTTAGATAAAACAAATGGCCGCGTCTGTTGCTGTCCCACTGGACTTAAGGTAGTATGATGTAATTGTTACCATAATAGGAATATTGGCCAAAGCCATCAAAGTGAGACCCCAGGTTATGAAAACAATTATCTTTCATTAAAACTGTGCTTTAGCCTGCTAATCATGTCATGTTAGCAGCTCTGTAAACCGTCTGTTGTGGAGAAGCAGACAAACAATGAGTGAAATGAAAAGTGTGAAGTCACATTACAGTACCTCCATCTTTAACAGACACGACTCTCTGACACACACAGTTCCACTTCCTTCACGATCGGCAGTTGGTAGCATCTTTAAAAGCAATTAGAAAAAAATTACTTGTTTGTGCCCAATTAGTTGTAGAGTCCCGACACGAGTGGCCACGTTTGTTGAAAAGTTGGTTGACATCCGGATGTGGGTCAAGTAGGGATTCACAATTCATTCAAAGCCTTTAACTGTAACTGACTGAGCGTGCCTGAAAAGGTCAGGTCCTGAATGTATGTTCTCAACACGCAGCAGGCAAAAGTATCAACTGATGTTACACGTTCTGTGAATCACTGTGTAACTGTAATCATACCAAAGGCAAATCATTTTTATAATTCTGTTTACACACTTCTTGTTGTAGCTGTGGCCAGTACACGCTTTAAAACTGAACTCGCCACTGTGACTGTAACGTTACACTGTGGCAGCAGAAAATACTCATTTATGAATATTTGGCAGGAAAATCATAAATGAGACCTTAAATGTAGTTCAGTTTAACTACTGTTCTAAATCAGAGTACAGGGTAAATTAAACTGCAGCAACCACAGCAGCATCAGAAGAAATGGTTGTTTTTGTTGTTGAAAGATTTAAGGATAATAATTGAGCTCATTGGACTCTGTTGTAAACCTTTTCCAGTGAAACATCTCTACACTGAGCGTGGTGAGTTCAGTCTTATGCTAAGTTATATGGGTACTGGCTCACTGACAAAGCTGTGTGAAGCAACATGTGAACTGCTGTCAGCGGCCGATTCGACCGTTTTAATGATGTTGCACAGGATTGTAGCTGCTGTCGACAGTGTGACAGTATGCACAGGTTTCTCAGTGCATTTATACTGCAAAGATTTTGTGTATTTTAGCATTATTTGATATGAAAAACAGCCAGCCGTGTGCAAACTGGAAGGCCAGACAGGCAGAATCAAACAGTCAAAGTACTTGAAAGGAACTGAAATGCTACTTGGCCCAGCTCGGTGTTCAGGACACGAGCTACTCAGATTTATGGCAGTAAAGGTCTTTAAGGGCTTTAAGTTCTTCAATTAGCGTCTTGTTTTGGTTCTCCAGGACGGCCACTCGGTTTTCCAGACACTTAACATACTCCTTCTTCTTCCTGCGACATTCACGGGCTGCCTCTCTGTTGGAAGGATAAGACACAATTTGGGTTTTTTGTTTGGTGTTTATGGTTTTGGAGGGAGTTTGGAGCGTTAGTTCATTTTAGTTTTGGTCACTGTTCCAGACGACAGCAGCTGTGGATGCTGGGAAATTTACGATGCAAATATATTATCAACACACAAAGACACAGATTCCCCCTCTGTTCATACCTGTTCTTCATGAGGCGGACCTCCCGTTTGCGGGTGACCTCCTCAGTGGCACCCTGGGTGGGGAGGGCAGGGGAGGAGGCCATGACCACCCCAGGGGCGATAGTGCTTGCAGGGGCTGCTCGGATCTGATAGGCCTGGACGTCACCGGAGGCAGCTGAAACGTACAGACAGTGGATGTTTAATTTGACCTCTTTCTTAATGAAACTACTCAGTGTTTCATTAGCTTGTTTACTGACTGACAGTAGCAAAATCTTTTTGTCTTGGCTTTCAACAACAGAACATTATCCTGATTAGGCAGAAATAAACAAAAATAAGTATTAACAAAGATAAAAGATTCCCGCTCTCACCTTGGACCACCACCTGGTTACTGGGAACCAGTATCTGCTGGCCGTCGCTGGTCTGTGCATACTGGAGGATGGTGGCTCCAGGCTGGGTGGCCGCTGCTGCGTTGGTCATAGTCAGAGTTTGAAGACCTTGGACTCCATCTGTACCGTTGTTAGCCAGCTGAATGGCCCCGCCCTGCGTGATCGCAACTGTGTGAGACAGCAACAGATGACAGGGAGAAATTTAAGTATTATGGTCATTCATGAAGAAACATTCTGATTAAACTTTTGTTCTATCAAAACTTTTTGTTTTACTAACTAACAACTAGTCCCTTGGTCTGCACCATGAAAGCAGCAGAAGCAGCTGCCACACTGCCCAGATTCAGAAACTTTTAAAAGATTTTAAAGATTTATTTATCTATTTTTGTCTACGAGGAACAGGCAACACTACACAACAGCTTTTTCCAGCCTTCACATGTATATATAAATATATGTTACATATGTATGTTAAAACACAGCTATATTCACGCTCATTTTCATTCTGACTTGCTGTTCACCAACCCAGTATGTCTCTACGTGGTTACCACTGTTTTCACTGACTTGTGCTCTGCTGCTAATAGCAACTTTTCAATGTTCAGACTTTTCCAGGTGTTGCATAACAGCCCTGAGCTTCTGACATGAGGGGATTTAAGTGGAGAAACTATGTTTTACTGTTTCACACTGTGACCCAAACCGTAATGTTTGAACAGGGTGCGACAGCTGGAGTTCACCATCTCAACAATGGTGTTTGAACTACATGAACCACATGAACCTGCAACCTGAGATCCACCTCTATTGAGCCAACTATCACCTACTGTATTGGCCGCTGCTGGTCTGGTAGATGGGTGTGGGGACAGTAACAGTGGTAATTGAGGGTGTGGCAGCCGCAGCAGATGAATCCTCCTCGGCCTTTTCCTCCTCGATACGAGGGACAGCCGGCACGTCGGATGAAAGATCGTTCAGGATTTTCCTGTTGGGAAAAAACAACCGTGGGAGTTAGTCACAAAACCCTCAGGGCAGGGTTGGTGGGATGTTATGATCTGAGGCTGACATGAAAGAGAAATTTCACACCTCTTCTTGTGAAATAAAACATCAGTTTTAATATCACCATCACCTTTCGATGATCATTTCCACACCCCAAACACATAATCTTCATTGTTTTTGGTTTTAACGAAAAATAGCCAGATTTTTAAGAGATGTTTCCTGCTGCAAGAAGATGATCATCATTACGTATCATGCAATTCATTCACCCTCTCTCTCTCTCACACACAAGTTACCTGTATGAGGGGCGTCGTGACAGAATCTCTCTGCGTTTCTGAGAGTCAGTCACACTGTCTACTGACTCCTGTGAATCCTCACTTTCTGCTATAGTGGAGATCTGGAACAAACCAACCAACCAGACAGAAATACATCAAACAAACCTTCAAACTTCAGGTTCTTTATGTAGTGGCTGTGTGCGTGTGTGTGTGTTTTACCTGTACAGCCTGGACCTGTGGGGACTGGATAACAGAGGGTTGTGCAGCCTGGATGACACCGTGGACTTGAACTGTCTGTCCATTGGGAAGCTGGACAAGCGTTACTGTGGGACCTGTTGCTGATGCGTGGCCTGTTGTCATGGATACCTGGAATTTAGAAGCAATGTGACCTATTTGTGACATTCAAAACTGGTATTGAGCTGGGCACAACTTGCACCAACTGGAAGCAGTGGTAGTAGCGTAAACATCATCTGTTACCTGTGCCAAAGTAGCGATCTGTGCCGAAGTGATCTGCTGGTTCTCTGTCTCCGTCACAGCAGTCTCCACCCCCTGCTGAGCCTCCACTGCTGACTCCATCTTCATTGGCTGAGCTGACGGTGGAGATTTGAAGCAAAGCCGTTAAAACTGATCTATTGAGGAGCTGCAGCCACAAACAATAGTCAGGTGCCCTTACAAACATTGAAAAGCTTTTGAATAGTTAATATGTTCCAAAGTTATTCCCCCCTTTTCTTACAATCCTCCGTCCACTGCAGCGAAATAGGGAAACACTGTTTGAGGAAATGAGTTTTGCTTTAAGACAGACTTGAGAAATTATGAAGCTGTTCCTTCAGTGTATTTCTTGCAATGTCTGAGGGTTACTTTAATTAAAAAAATTTAAAGTTGTGGTGACACCTTATTGGCTAATTAATCCCTTATCAATAAAATGACGAATCTGTGTTTTCCACTGTTAGCAAATGAGCTCTAAAAGCTGTTATGGGTTTTAAAACATTATTACTATGACCGCAACTGTGCTGGATAAATTACTATAAAAGGGACAACAAAAGGAAGTAAAATAAATAGATTCATTCATTTCAGAAACTAACTAAAGGAAATGAAAATAACAATCATGTGTAAAGGAGTGATACAGGAGGTCATTCCTGCCGGGTGCTATCAGACTTTACAATTCATCTGCAGGCTGTCGGGCCCGTTGACTCTGGTAGTGGATCTATCTATTCATAAAAATGATGGGATGGAATGAGATTTTCTGGGATTCAACTCTGTATAACTTCACATTAAAAAGGAGAAACTAGTTACGTTTCTGGAAGCTGCTCTGAACAAATCCACTTCCATATTATAAAGGAACTTTAGGCCCAACTTTTAACACTGAAAAAAATGATAAAAATAAGACATATTTATCATATTATCAGAGATACAGACTGAGTCCACATTTACCATATTGTAAATTCTTTTAAAAAGTCCTTATAGTTAATTCAGTGCTATGTTATTATGCAAGAACATATATATTTAGATTTTTTTTTAAAGTTAATTTGCGTGAAAAAGGGATAAATAATAGGAAATTGGCTTAAATGGAAACAAAATTCTGCTACAAGGTATTCTGCTCTTGCTCCATGACAAGTGCAAACAATGAAGATGATCTGTTATTGATTGCAAATCAAATCAATGACAAATGTATTCTTGTTAGTTGTTTGAAGTCCTAGTAAAGGCCAAGAAGAAAGAAAATGATGTTACCTCCTTACAAATCTTCAAATGAAAATATATGACTAAAACGACTTTATTCTTAACTACATAGCATCAGCTAATGCATTATTATTATTTTCATCATTAATATTATTTTCCAACCCTTAACCAACCTGGAGCTCTCTTAAGGTTTAAGGGCATTTAAGGGCAAGCCAAAATTAGTCTGATAAATTGCTTTATTTTTTAAGTTTGTGAGTACGAGTAAAGTTGAGGGATTTTCTGCTTAACTTCACTTTTATACTTTTATTTTTCTGATGAATCCGTGCCCCCCGATCCCTGGCTGATTTCAGGCCGTGCAGTGAGTGTTGATCTGGGACGTGTTCACTGAGCTCAGTGATCTCACACTGTGCGTAGCTTCTCTGCGCTGCATGATTGGCTTTACACATTTCTCCCTCTGCTTTTCAAAAATCACTTGGATGCTGTGTGTGTGACAGCAGAGACACATGGCCGGGCAACGCCCCCTCAACGCACACCGGTCACATCCCCGGAGATAAGCGAACAATTCAAACCCAATCTAACCGCAAGTACAAGACGTGTGTTAGTTAAATCTCCAGGCCTGAGTTCATGTTTTCAACGTGCAACCAAACGCGACGGCCTGCAATGGCCGATTTCTATCAAGACCGAATGAATGGAAAATAGGAGAAACATTATTATTGACTAGGCAGTGGTGATATGAGCAGATGTAGTTTAATAAAATAATTTGCATGATATCAAAAATATAAAATTAAGTCGAGTAAGTTGCAGAAATAAATGAAAATTTCGCGGCTGGTGGTTTCAATGCGCCGTTAAGGGAAATCAGCGCAAATCTCTGCGCAGAAATCTCTCTCCACTTTAGCATCATTTGACAGCCAAGCGTGTTAAGACCGCTAAAGTCCTATCGCAGTTTCTGATGTGTTAACACATCCACACACACTGTCCCTCCTGGTTCACTATCAAAGCTACACATCGGCTCCGTTTCTCCCAAACAGCCGCAGCCTCCCCTCCCTCCATCCTGCTACAAACGCACCGCGGCGCCATGATCTCTTTGTTTCCTTCGGGCCGAACCCGACCAGACCGACACTTTCTACGGCCGCGTCCCGTCTCTCTGAGCCCCGGACACCGCTCCGTCCTTACCGATACAGACTCCCTTCGTCACTCCTGGGCCTCCGGAGCTCCACTTTTATTCTGGCCGACACGTAAGAGCCCGCGTCAGGCTACACCTCCGCCGCGTCACCGGGAACAACAACACGGAGATTGGAGAAGGACGAGAAAGCAGATGGCGACACTGACCGGAAATGAACGAAGTGCGAACGGAGACAGCCGGAAAGTACCGAGAAGAAGCGGATCATAACGACACCCCCCTGCCTCGTGGAGCGTTTGGCAAAAGGATAAAATTTTTACAATAAGCAGTTTAATAATTATGTAACAGGAACAACAATAATCGTTGGTCATAAAAGCTTTTCCCGTGGCCTACCATGAACCAGACCTCAGAAGGCTCAGCGAAATCGCATAAAGCAGATTTATTTATTTTATTTCTAGCTGAATATAATCGTGAAGTTTTGGTTTGAGACGAATAGGAAACTTGAATTTTCATTAAAAACCACTTTCTACTGGAGAAATACACTCACACAGAGCACTTTATTAGGAACACCATACTAATACTGGGTATACGGCTTCCATTTGCTTCTCTGAACATGGATTCCACAATATGTTGGAAATGCTGGAAGTAGCCATTAGAGGATGGTAAATTGTGGCCATAAAATGATGCACATGGTCAGCAACAATACTCAGACAGGCATTGGCATTCAAATGATGATTGGTTAGTATTTAGGGACCCAAAGTGTTCCAAGAAAACATTCCCCACTACCATTACACCTCCTCCACCACCAGCAGCAGCCTGGACTGTTGACACAAAGCAGGTTGGGTCTTTAGATTCAGAATTTGGCTGTTGATGCCAAATTCCTGACCCTACCATCTGCATGCCTCAATAAAATCCAGATTCATCAGACCAGGCTACATTTGTCTGGTCTCCAACTGTCAAGTGTTGGTGAGCTTGTGCCCACTGCAGCTTCAGATTTCTGTTCTTGGCTGACAGGAGTCAAACCCGATGTGGTCTTCTGTCACAGTAATAAAGAGTGACCATTTTCCCCTGACCTCTCATATCAACAAGACCTTTCTGTCCATAAAACTGCCACTCACTGGATGTTTTTTTTTGTAGTTGTTTGTTTTGTTTTTGGCTCCATTCTGAGTAAAAACTCCAGAGACTGGTGTGTGTGGTAATCCCAGGAGATCAGCTGTTTCAGAAAAACCCAAACCAGCCCGTATGGCAACAACAACTATGCGTCAGTCAAAGTCACTGAGATCACATTTTCCCCCACTCTGATGTTTGATGTGAACATTAACTGAAGCTCCTGACCTGTATTTGCAGGATTTAAGCTTTGGCTCCTCCCCAGAGGAGGAGGGTCTTTACCCTTTGAGAGTTCAACGAAGAACTGGTTTTGCTTACACAGGTTGCCAGTCTACCACAACACGATTATTCACACATGGGTCATTAAGTCTCCAGTTAACCAGCATCTGTGTCATTAACCCGAATTAAGTAAATAGTCTCTACACAGATACTTCTGCTACACCAGTGTTATCTATTCACATCCTTCCACATACACTTGTAGTTGTCATCTTTTTTTCACACAATATTTTGACTCCTCAGTAGAAAAAGCACAGTTGTAAATAATAAAATGAACGATGGCCAAACTGCATGAATGGCTCATTCTCACAGTCGCACCTCACTGTGACATGGAGACGTTGCTGATGTTATTAGTAACACCCGTGCTTTTGATGGTAAGACAAGTCAAAATGTCTGCTGCTTGTGAAACTGGTCTATGTTTGCTGAAGCCATTCTTGCTGTCACCACCAGAGGGCAGCATAAGACCAATTTAAATTTAACACAGTGGTGGGATCTGCAGGTATTCTGTACAATGAAATACACAGTGCAAGTATGAAATATGAAAATACAAAAAAGTTTTGAAGAGATAAAACAAAAGTTAGACACGTGGAAGGACTCTGGCAAACACTTACAGGTTTTCTGACATGCGGCATCGTGATAATGAGGAGACAGAGTTGCTCGTCTAACCTCGGACTCCAGCCAGTTTTATGCAAACTAATCTTGGATTAGGATGTTGAGCACCAATATGTCTCAGGATGGGATACTTGACTAAACCCTGCTACAATATTCTCCACCACACAACTGAGAAGGATAAAAATACACATATTTTTACTCCTCATTAAAAAAAAACATGCAGAAAAATACTCTAATGGTCCACAGCTGACAAACTAAAACACCAAGTGGAATGAGTTTGCACTGATACTGAGAAATCAATCAATTCTGTAAATCCTGAAAATATAGTCAAGGAGCAAGAAGTATCCATTTGAATTCAAGTTTGTTTTTCATGTGTGTCCTCTCTCTGTCTCATGAAGCCTCAGAATTAAAAAATATCACATATAATCTGACAGGATGTTCTTCTTTTTCCCTCATGGAAGCAGAGCTCGCCACAGGCCAGCGAGGCAGGCTGGTTCTTATCTCCACAGATGGTGGCACTGTAGAGCTGTGCAAACTCTCCGACCATGTGCTCCTCGGTCTCTGCCTCCTCTCCTCCTCCTCCCCAGCGACAGCCGCCGCTGCTGGTGTGTCACCACGCAGATATGTGGAGTTTATCAAGGCAATTCCTTTTATAATCCTCCTGATGCTCGTTGTCGGTGTTTTATCTGTTTAATAGCATTTTACTGCTACACGCCATAAAAAACACCCTTTTTATTGTGACACCAACACATTGTTTGGGGAATTGACCCTGCCTGGGTAATGAACAGCAGTGATTTTGCAGCCAGTTATAAAAAATAAAAAAAAAGGAGGGGAGGAGGGTGGAGAGGTGTTTTTTTTTTTGGGGGGGGGGTTAATTTTGACCCAAAGAGAAGAGGAGGAATATTTTACAGAAGGGTCATTAGTCAACATTCACTTAGTTATACGGGGGAAAAAAACCATCACGCTTAAATGGCATTTTGTAAATGTATATTTGAAATGACATTAACTGTTGGAATACAAAGATGAAAAATATACAGACAGGAAACAAATGAAAGAAAAATAACACATACAGCTGATTGTTTAAAAATGATGAGAATCACATGTTGTACAACACCACCATCACAACACCAAATGAGGAAATATCTTCGGGATGGTATTCATCCCTCCAGTATAGTTCAGACACTTGGAGAGTTTATGTAAGGAGCGCTGAAGCTGTTCTGGATGACTGTGGTAAACCAACACTTACTACTTGCTCGGGTTTGCCACTGTTCTTTGGAAGAGTTCCTGGAACTAAATTTGGGCACCGCTTAGAAGGTGATACTTAATCCAGTTCCAGGTATTTTCAGGGATTGCTGGCAGTGCTTTCAATCGTATTTGGCCAAGCAGATGAGTCATCACATCACAACAAGGACGGCCAAAACAACACAACGACAATAATCACCATTTTACTTGGTGTCTCTTTCTATATAAAACAGGTCAACCAATACTTTAAGAAAGAAAAGAAGAAAAAAACAGAGGGACAATGAAGGATGCTTGTTGGACAAATGAAGACGTACTGGGTCTCATTAGTTTTTGGGGAGAGTCTGAGGGAGCTAGAGTCTCTGACTAGAGACCAAAAGATCTGTCAGGGCCAGAAAACGCAGGGACACGTCACGCAGCCAAAAAGTGCACAGAAAGTAATAAAAGGATGAAATAAGATTATAGGAAAAATAAAGATATCAATGCACGGAGTGGAGCAATCAGTTCTAATAGAAGCACTTTCTGCATTAGAGGAACACACACCGATTTTTCACATGGAGTTCAATTTACTTGTCACAAGGAGCATGCTCCTGTGGAAACAGTTGAATAATGCCTTCTGCAGCTCTAAAAGGGAGCTTTGGAAAGATCGAAAAACAACATCAGGATGTAATGAAAGATGGTACCCAGTTGCATTATGGGAAGCGTAGGATTTAATGTTTCTGGAACTTGATCCATACGAGAGACCAGTGGTGAGGCTTCAGTTTCATTGGAGCTGCCCTTTAACAGATCCCATATTCAGATACACATCATGTGTTTATAGCAGGTGGAAATGCAGTATACTAGTGTCCATTATTGCTGTGACAGTTGGGAGTCAACATTTCCATGGCTGTTGTCGTAGAGTTATAAATATATCGCCTATAATTTGGATCTTGCTTTTGAACAACCGTAGGAGCAGGGAGTTAATACAAGAGCAAACAGGTGAGTATTCCACTGCCAACAGGATATTTCACAACACATTTTTACATTTTTACTGAATTCAAACCCCTGCTGCTCAGTTTCACAAACACTTGGAGTGTTTCTGACACTTGCACAAGAAACTGTGAAAGGTTACCTTCCTGGCAAGATCTAGTATGTGTGTGTGATCAGCGTGGCTCAGAATCTATGAGTATTTTATTTTTGGTCATGTCATTTTAGTTGTTTGTGTTTAAAATAAAGACAGAGTGGAAATTACTATGGAAATAAGACTTCTCTAACTCAATACTACAATACAGTGATTAGCTCACTAAGATGGAGAAGTACTAAATTTTCTGACCAAAAGAGGAGTGCAGAGGAATATTTTAAAGAGGCAGAGAGAAGTGTGTTCTCCATGTAGAAATAAAACTGATTCCATACACACACACACACACACACACACACACACAGAAAGAGAAAGAATCAATAGAGGCATTTGGTCTATTATCATAAACACACAGTGTGTGTGTGTGTGTGTGTGTGTGTGTGTGTGTGTGTGTGTGTGTGGGAAGAATGGTGTTTTTATCTCCAGATGGTTGACTGAGACTTGGCTGGTTGGTACAGAGAGTCAGGGAGAAAAGCAGGCAGAAGGCGTCTTTTCTACTTGAGCTCGACTAAATATGTGTGTGTGTGTGTGTGTTTGTGTTTGTGTTTGTGTTTGTGTGTGTTTGTTTTCCATGTCTGCCAACCTGCCTGCCTGTGTGTGTGCACATGTGTGTGTGTGTATGTGATTGACCTTGAGAAAGGAGGCTCAGTTGGAGGAGAGAGGGATGAGAGCCTACCTCCCCCGTTCACCCCCCTCACCCCCCGCTGTGCCTCCCCCCCTGGGTAAAGGACGACTGGCTTCTCATTCTCCGTCTGTCCTCTCTTTTCTTCTTTTCGTATCCTT